GCCAGAACCGCCTTGTTTTGCAATTCTCAAGCGTCCTGATTATACTTCTTCAGGAATTTCAATCCAATATAAGAAGCGAGTTCTTGATTTGATTTGCTTGAGATTGCCTTATTAAGGATAACAGGTGGTAGATCGCCCGTCACGGACGAAAGCTTTTCAGACACATCCGAAGGTCGAGCTGGCGATGACTTTGATGGATCCATATGAGAATATAAACAGGAGTCGATCGGATTTCATCAACGGTTGAAATCGGTAAATTCTTTCTGAAGATGATTTCCTTTCTCGAGATTCGTTTCTTTTCTCAGAACTCGTTTCTTTTCATCGCTGCATGGGTCGCTACCGAGGCAAGTTTCTGACATGCCCTCGGTTGAATCTGAGCTTTCAATCAACTCTCTGTAATGTCTCTGAACAAAATTGTTACTCGTTTCCCATCTGGATTCTTGCGAGATGGCACAATTCGATTCTTTTTTTTTCTAATGGAAGTTATGTACAAGATCAAGAGCTAACACGAGCCAGTTTCAGAAATGAGACCATCGTGATAATGAATGGGATGGGATGGATCATAGCCCAATGTGACCCAAATTTGGCTTTTGCAAACTTAACAAAGTCCCTCGCCAAAGGCCCGAGCCCCAGCGAGGGACTTACCCCATAAACTGGAATCCTGGCGTGAGAAGTAGCCTGTATTGGCTCAAAAAACGCTACTTTGAATTCTTTGATTTGTTCCTAAATAAACAGGTCTCGGAGGTAAATAAAAGGATGATGGCAAATATTCATTACATATGAGCCAATTGCAAGCTTCCCCAAATCTGGTCTGGAACTTGGGCTACTGGGGAATCAAAAATGGGTCTGTTTTCAATTTTCAGCAGCGGCGAGCCGGCTCAAAGCCTGTATTTCTCAGAAAGCGGTCAAAATAATTGATCTTCAACTACTCAAAAAGATAACTTCCCAAAAAGATAGAAAGGAGTTTGCAATTGGTACATATGTAATGGTCCCTTGCCTTTTTCTTCTTTCTTTGTTGCAAGACATGTTTGTTGAGAGAGAAAAAAAACAAACAGATGTAGAGAATTTGGAGCAAATACAGCTCACTTCTCACGCCAGGATTCCAGTTTATGGGGTAAGTCCCTCGCTGGGGCTCGGGCCTTTGGCGAGGGACTTTGTTAAGTTTGGCTTTTGGGGCCTATTGGTCACACCAGGGATGTTATTTAATGTGCAAGTCCCTCGTGCCTCGGCTTCGGGTTACCGTGAGCTTTTGCACGATCGGACTTGGGTTAAGTTAGAAGTTTTGACCTCGCGATAATCATTTTCCATCTGCTTGGTTCTCTGCAAGTTGGCACTATCCGATACCAATTGAGCAGCATGACGTCAATCACTTGTTTGGCTGCCTCTGATTTACTCGACATTACGACAAATTAGCACAATCAGCTGCCATCATGTCAGGATATTCCGGAACCACCATGCAACATATTCAGCTACACACAGCTTACCTTTATTCCTTTCAGCAACCATCCAATTTTCAACCTGCCTAGCCAACAATTCAACTTTCACATCGATCACATCATTGGATTGCTCAAATGAGCAACCTGATCAGAAGTCATTTGAAAAGATAGTCAATATTAGGTCGATGCGTCATTATCATTACTGCTTTCACAGATGAAAGGTATCAGGATATCAAAGCATGCATTGGACGTCATCAACAGATATCTGGCAATCCAATCCACACCTAGCCAACGACCCTAAAGCACATAATTTAATTTAATTTAATTAATTGGATCTTCACTCTCATTTTTGCAATTAAGAACTGATCATAGTCGAGGAGTTTCAGAAAACCTTCATAAATCACATTTCAAACCTTTTATAAAGGTATCCCAATCTAATCCAATCAAATCATCAACTAACATAAAGTGTACACCTAATCTCTTTACAGGTATTTGTAACAGTCAGACAGATGCCATTTCTGCTGATGCCTACGTGTCTACAGAAACCTCAATACGAACGATGACACAAACGATCGTGGAATACACCAATCAATTTGGATCAAAGGTCTGATAGCCTTATGTTGAGAACCAAACATCTTGGTTCAGATTTGTGAAGCAATCAATACTAAACCAGCAAGTTTCATCTCCGTTGCCTTTGTAAGTTTTTAATTCTTTTCTTCTTTTCTTAATAATCCAGATCATACTAATGATTTATTCGATTCCTATAGGGTCAACATGATTTTTTTGCTGAAAGACCAGATAAACTCGATGCAAAGACGGGTACCTATCATTGTTGTAAGCTCTCTTCTCTTACTGACATATCTTATTTGAGACCAAGTACTGACTCCTCCCTCTTTGAACTTTCTAGATTGCATAATTCAATCATGAATAGTTTGCAGCTAAACCTATTGGTCGTCTTAGTGTTGTGAGTTCATCTTGATTGACCAAAGACCAAAGAATCAAGGATCACTGACACACTTTTTCTGTTTTGATCAATTTTAACTGGTTTGATCCCAGTGTCTCATTTGTAGAAGTCCAAAATCTAACAAGTGGTAAAGCATTACCGCCAGATCGAGTCAAAGAAATAATTAGAAGCGCTCGGCAGCATATGAAGGCAATAGTATTCCATTAGGACGACTTGATTTTGTGCACCACATTCATCAAATTGACCGTTTAGTAATGATGGACAATCACAACATATGCCATCAAGATCAGTTTTGACTACTAATTCTAGACAATAATCATTTGGGATCAAAAAGTCAAACTACACATAGCGGTAGAAGTTCACAACAAACAAATTATCGAGCCCATCATTCTAGAGAACCATCAAATAGTGTAGCAGCTTGGGTGATTCAGCTAATGGGAGCAGGTATTTAGAAACAACTGATCGTGAAATCATCCATACAGTGTAAGTCCTTTTTAATTCATCAATCAACTAATATTTGACTAATCTTGATTGAATTTATGATTTTGGTCATGCTCCTAAACCTGATCATTGACTCATATCTGTTACATGCTTTCTGAAGTTGAAATTCAATCGGTCTCACTCAGTTCTCAAATCTGGAATCAACTTCTCATCTAAACCTATTTCTAGAACAATCTTCTCAAGTAAGTAAAACTGATCAATAGCAAATCTTGAAATATTCTCAATCAATTGTACTGACTCCCTCTATTGTGTTCTATAATTTTGAACTTTAGAACTTGAAATGATGACTAACAATCAAAGCCTTAAAGAATCCAATCGATGTCTATGATTACAAACTATCTTAGACAATCCAACTAAATCAAAACATTCAAAAGAAGTCAACTTTTTGTTATGAGTAACCCAACTCAAGAGAGCGATTATAAATCCAGCACTCCTGAATCTTTATTAGATCCTAGCAAACAGTCGGATTTCAACTCTTCCAAAATTGAACAAACTGATCAATCTACTCCTGACAATCGATCTGATCAACAAACCACGAATTCTTCATCAAGATCGAATACTCCTACTCAGACTGTTATTATGACTTCTAACTCATTGCTCCTGTGCCATCAAGGTGAGTTTTCCTTTGATTTTGGTTCAATTCCGATTGTATTCAAATCAATCCCAGCCTCCCAAAAGCTTTAGTCATCTCAGGTTATTGATCTTCATCTTATTTACTTTTATTTCACATAACAGGCTAGAGTCATCATCATCATCAAGCTTTCAACTTCTATTCTAATTAAACAAAATGCTTTAGATTTAATTTAAAGATATCAATCAACTAACCAAAATGAAAACAATGATGACGATGAAGATCAAAATGAAGATGTAAAGGAAGATGATGATACTAAAGAGATTAAAAATCAGAAAATTAAAATTGTGGAGAGGTTTGGAGTAAATTACAAATCGGTTGTTTTAATAAAACTGATGATCGAGGTAAGTTCTTAATTCAAATTCTACAAAAGAAAAAGTAGAAGAACAGAAACCAATTTAATGTGTTTCTTTTTGATGATTGATCAATCACTTAACTGATTCTAGAGAACTTGAAGCTATGATTAATTTATTGATTACTCTTTTATTTCATTGTTTTCAATTGATCATTTTAAATCATCTTCAATGGTTAAAGAACTCTTGGAAGCCAGTTCAAAAGCTGAAGAAAAGACTACTTCTTATGGAAAATACAATGTGTAACTCATTTTGTCTATCTTCAATCCAAACCAATTCAAAATATCTGACTGATTTTTGAAAATTTTGAATTTGCCTTTTTAGTTTAGTTAATGCATCACCTGCACCAATAGAAGATTGAATCCCATTACAATTAGCAGTTTTAAGCAAATTAACTGAAATGAGTTTAACAAATCCAGAAGATATCAATTTACATTTTCCTACTTTATTAAAAGTACCCAATTATTTAATTTTATGAATTTAATTAAATCTAATGAAGGAATTCAATTAATTCAGAAGATTATCAACTTATTAGAACCAAGTTCAAAAAATATAGATGCTGACAATTTATCGATTGTTTATCTCTCTTCAATCAAATGTAATGATTCATTAGATCCACCTTTACGAAGCAAATTAGATAAAATAGTTGATCAATCAATTTGATTAACTTTAAACTTAAACGACTGTTATTTTTGGGATTTATTAGACGATATCAAACCCATCTCATGTTACATCCAATCCAACCCAATCCGAAAATCTTGTTATCAATTTTTTTTCAACTTTTGAAATCTGATCAATCCAATACCATCAAGATATTGAGGATTTATTAAATTCAAATACCACTCAACTTTCTACTCCTATCAAACAATCCATTAAATTTAAACCTAAATTGTTAATTTTAATTGATTTTTGTTCTAAAAGAGTGGAAGGAAATGTTTCATATCAGAAATTGAAAGTTCTTTATGATTAAAAAGTGAAGGAGATGAAGAAGAAGGAATGAAAGTATAAGAATGGATCATCAATGATAAGTCTCTCTCCCCCAATCAAAAAAAACCAACCTCAACCAATTTTCCTGATGATTTTGTGTATTTTTTTTTGTTTAGATGTTAAAGCAAAATCAATCTCAGCAACAGTTTATCAACCTAATCAGTTAGTTTATATTAATTAATCTTCTTCTGGATCATTCGGATATCATGAGTGGAAAGTATTGGGTTCTAAACTTTCTCAATGGTCTGATTTGATTGATAATCTAATTGAAGTTGTTGGTCAAAGTTTAAATCATGTGAAATTGGTTGGTGTGACTGCTTAAAAAAGTACATAGAATTGTAGAAAAAAACTGAATGTCTATTGGAATAAATGAAACATGAAAAAATAGTGGAAGCTTTGATGCAATTCAATCATTTTTGAAATGTTACTTTGAAAAGAAAAGAATCAAAACTTTTGGGTAGCTTTCTTTTGAATTGAAGAGATTAATTAGCTTGACCAAAAAGTGATAGATCCAAGATCTTCATGAAATGAAATCGCTATTTTCTTCTTAAAAGTTATGTACACATACCTCACTCAAAAATTTGTTTTTTACCTTCTTAGTTTATGTTTTTGGTTTTTGGATTAGGTTTTTCAAAATCTGAAACAAAATGAAACTTCATGTACTCTGATATGGAATCCGTTGGGGGTTAGGGCCTAGGGGTTAGGGCTTAGGATTAGGGGGTTAGGTTCAGGGCAATCATATTTTCACTCCACACCAAGTTTATGTGTCAGCACCTTTGTGCAAAGTCCTCATGATTTGTACCAATTGTTGATCTCACCACAATCTGAACTCAGAGTTTTCATCACAAGTTACCCATGTGGCAGTACTGATTGGGATTCTGTATTGAAAGAGGTCCAGGTTTCTCTTATGGGCAAGTCAACAATCCCAAAATATTATGTTTTTGCAGCTCAGAACAGATGGAGGATGTGCAATCCAGAATTAGTGGGGTTTTGGAAGATCACGGCCTGTAATCTCACTTTAGATCTGGATTAACTTCTGCCAAAGTATTGATAAGTATGGTGATTTTGTATCTGATCTGAGCAAAAGCAAGATATATTTCAGTGTCTACATTTCATATCAACATGATTCTACTATCAAACAGAACAAAAGGTCAATTTAATTAAAACTGGAGTATCTCAATCACTACTGTGACTTAAACATCAGTGATGGATCTGGTGTGACCAAAACAGCTACTAAGTGTTAAACAACAATATCCTCAGGCTGGCATTGTGCTACCCATAATATATGAAGTGATCCAATATAGTGATGAGATAGATTATACTGTGCTGTAATGCAGCCAATCAACCCTGAGAAAGCTTTCCTCTTCAAGAGTCAAGTGGTATATCATCCAGCATAGACTGTAGCATACTATATGAATTGAACTAAGATAAGCCCATCCTTACAGTGCGGCGCCCGCCGCCCAATTTGGCTAGTTATAGTTGAAATATAAACATGATAAATTAAAATAATACTACCCTACATTACCCATTTAGTGAGCACAGAGTCCTCAATTGAGCCCTCTACCCTCACAAGATCCAGCAATTTTTCAGCCGCCAGGTTGAGTTGCAGAATTTGACAATACACTTGAATTCTTTCGGGTTGTTGAGGGTATTTGAGTTTTCTGATAGTTGTAGTTCATTGAGGGAAGCTATAAGCTTGGTACATTGTTGACTGTAGTTATGGCATATGAATAAAAAGTGGTCAATTGTTTTGATCCCTTGTTTACATATGTACATAGGGTCAAATCTTTGGTGGTGTTTGAAAAGATATTGGTTGAAATAAATGTGTTTGAATCTTAGCTGCGTTATTGTAGCACATTTGTGCTTCATTAATATGCTTAAGGCTTTGAGGTGCTTTGTTGGAGTTGGTGGGTGTCCTAGCCGTTGTAGTATTTAAAGCTCAACAAGAGCTTTACAACACCTGAGAAGGGATAATCTACTACATGTAATATAGTAGAAGTTGCCTAAAGACTGCCTCCTTCAAAGAAACCAGCACAAGGGCACTTGCTGACCACTTTGTGATAACAGAGAAAAAGATAAAGGCACCAGAGAAATAAAGCAATAATGTTGTGAAGTATTATTCCCAGATTTTAAGTGCAAAAAAGTCCACAAAATACGTTATTACTAGCAATACTGTTGTTAAGTATTATTCCCAAAGAGACTTATAGTCTTTAACACATGTAAATAAATTTCTCCTTGGTTTGAAGGGGCGGATTTAAGTGATCTTAGTACAAATATAGTAAATAAATGATGATTTATAACACTACAACAAAGGTATAAGATGCAGAAAAGGGAACAACAATCTCAAAATCATCAAGGAGTACTTATATCAACGATGGGCCGTTGCGATGCGGTGCGCGCAACGGCCAGTTGCGGGCAACACAACGATGTCATTTTGAACCTATAGACCCACAACGCAACGGGTAAAGGCAACGCCCGTTGCGTTGCGCGCAACGCAAAGCGTTGCTCAGTTGCTCAGGGTAGGTGTTGCTTCTCACGTTGCTCCAGTTGCTCAACAGTTGCTCGCATCATCACGCACACAAACTGAGATTAGAATTATGGGCATAAGGGCATAAGGGCATAGGCATAAAAGTATATAAAAAGAAGGCATAATCGACAAACAAACAGGAGGAAAAGAAGAAAAAGAAAGGAAAGAAACTATTAAAGAAGTAAACATTTGAAGAATAAAAAGCTACAACTACTTTTTAGACCGTCTACCACCAAATGCCTCAATGGCTTCGTTTACCTCCGTATACTTGTGTGCCAGAGGTACCCGCTGACGCCACCATAAGCGAGAGCCCACGCAGCATTCAATGGTACGCGGGACCAGGCTCACTCTGTCAGAAGAGCAGATATCAGCTGCTGCTGAGAAAGTTCGTTCGACAATAGCGGAGCTGGCAGAGAGACTCAGGTAGTCTCGTGCTAGAGACGCAAGGACTGGAAAGGCCCCACAGTGCAACTGTAAATATACAAGATGATCAGCACAAAATAAAGAAAGAGATAAAAATTGCTGAAATAAGATGAGCGGAAATCTTACCCTCCACCATGGCAAGACTGCAGCAGTTTCTCGTGCATTGTCTTTGACTGACATGGGGTGTGTCCCCTTGAGATAAGCAGCGATCTCGTTGGATTCCACCTCCGCATCTTGAGCCTTGA